GGCGTCCGTTTTTGATCAAATAAAGCATCAATGTTTTATTTGGTGACAGACCTCGAAGCAATCACTCATGCTTCCGCCGCCGGTATCCAGTCGTACAATACGGATTTGCCTGATCCTGAGAACGCAGACGAAGACTCTGTAACTACGGCCAATCCAGGACTGAACCGAACCCACACCCATCATTGTCACCAAGCCCGCTTTGTTGTTCAAAACATGGCTTTCGTTTCCCCGAAGCAGGACCGCCCAGCTTCGACGGCTTGGACATGGCAAGGCGGGGGGGGGGCTGCAGGTTCAGAAATGACAGGTTCTGGTGAGACCTATCGCACAGGGACACATATAAGGGGGGTTAGGAAAGGGTTATCTACCTTGCGTCAGGCCTCTGTGGTTTTACTTCGAACCCGCACTCCTTGATTCGGAGATTCTGGGGAATGCTTCAGAATCCGACACCTTGGAGGAAGCTTGGAAGCAGCACAACGACAAGGCCTCGCAGGCCAAGCTCGGCGTGGTTGCCCATGCGGATATGCTGGGGCACCCTCATTTAAAGCCGCTCATGGAGGAGTTGAGCTACGGTGCCCAGCAAGTTCAATCGAAGCTGCTTGCTTGCCTTAGACACTGTGGTATGTGGGGTTTAGTTGGGTCAGTTGATTTGAATGTTTAACATCGCTGTCGACGTCCTAAGGGCGGCAGATGGCACGATTGGTAAGTCAATGGCCGAGCTTGTGCAGGTTAAGGAAGTGGTGGCGGGCCCAAATTGGAGTGCAGTGACTTTCGGTGAGGCGCTTCTCTCCCGCACTGTGCTGTGCAGGGCTGGGGCATGTTTCCTGGCCGCGATGCCATGTACAAAGCTGGCAGAGTTGGCAGCACAGGCTGATGGGTCCGACAAGGGCCTTACAATATTACCCGCCTCGCCGACGAACTTGGCAGCTTGTCCTTGGATGCCCTCCACCATCATGGAGGTGCTTATATCATGCTGCGGCAAGGCGAGGGTGCGATGCTGCCAGCGGGATGGATATACATGCAGTGCGGTGTGGGGTACATGCAGGGAACACGAAGCTTCAGCAAAGAGCAGCAGCTTCCCTACGACTGTGGCGTGTCATTCTTCGTGGCGAGGCAAGTATAGAGAGCGATTTTTCCAGATATTCTGGGCATCATGAGCATCAGCTGG